TACCCTGCTTGGTTTCCACTGCTTTTGGAAACTTCTTCACCTACTCGATATATTGTTTTCTAGTTTCGCTGAAAATAGCGTTTGCTTTTCTACCCTGCTGACTGTACCTGCTGTTTTGACACTAGAACTATCAAAGATTCATGCAAAGGAGAAGACAGGGCCGAGGTCAGACAATTATCAGTGGTTAATGGAATCATTATTTGTTAAATGACCCCATACGCACTAGGAAACCTATGGCTGTAACCAGAGGTTTCTATATACCAGAACAGTATTGGAAGTCTATAATCACATCTACACAAGACATATGCCACTCGTTTTGACAGGTGCACCAATGTTTCCTCTCTGTAACAGGACATCTCTGGGGTACAGTTATGCATGCTCAGAAAGGGCCATGAAAACACACCACTGTGTTAAGTGATACAGGTATAAGTTTGGGTTTATTAGGGGAAAAACATACAAGCACAAAGTAGTAGAGTGCATGCCATCCCTGGAATCGAATTATCCCTCAGCTGAGGCCAGGCATAGAGGTTTACATGCACTGTGACCAACATTCCAATAAAGACTGATCTCCATGCCCTTAATACTGTAAATATCTATAGCGATGAGGTGGTTCTGCCTATTTGACTAACATGGACCTGCTGAGCCAGTTTTCTGCCAAATTACCAAAATGAAGGAGGAAACGAGTGTCCAGGACCATCCAGATTTGTCTCCCTTCAGTTGTTTTGGAGATGTGGTTTAACCCATGAACTATCTGAATATTCTTACAGTTCTCATGTTCACCAATTATGCTGTGACGGGATTTTTACTACGTTCACTTTAATGGCTCCTCAACATGAAGACAGTTGCCCTACAGCCATAACCTCACTCCATCTCCATTTCCTTATCTCTAGAAAACGAGGCGCAAGGATCGAGGCCAGTGGTATGCGACAATTACTGTTCTGCCAAAGTAAATTTAGAAGCTGAAAGATAGGATGCCACTTCTAAAGCTATGCGGCTGTTTTTATGCCCTGAAGCTTAGCTCTCTGCGCCACATTTAATGAGACTGGCTGACCTTTAAGTCCCTTCCAACCTTGAGATTTGATTCTGTAACTAACAGTACAGTGTAATTAAAAAATAATAATAATTTAGCAAAAAAGGCTAACCACTAGAGGGCAGAAATATGACAAGTCAGAAAGGAGCGATGGCTGCTACAGTGAAGTACACCTGTGACTTTTACAATTCTTATTTCAATTAAATCCCACAAAAATTTTATTGCCTGCCAACTCTATTCTATAATCTGTGTCATGCTAAGAGTCTAGTGACTAATAATGCTAACAGTTCACAACTCAAATATGCAACTGTAAGAACAAATGGCCACGTGGTAACCCATTTCATTTGTTTAGAAGTCTATATTAAGCACTTACTGTGTGCCAGGTGCTGTTCCATGGACTCAGGATACATCCGCTACCAAAGCAAAGATCCCTAACCTTGTGAAACTGACATTCTGGTGGGAGGACAGATCCAATAAAAACTAAAATAAGCCAAGCGCGGTGGCTCACGCCTGTAATCCCAACACTTTGGGAGGCTGAGGCTGGCGGATCACGAGGTCAGGAGATCGAGACCATCCTGGCTAACACGGTGCAACCCCATCTCTACTAAAAATACAAAAAATTAGCTGGGCGCGGTGTTGGGCGCCTGTAGTCCCAGCTACTCGGGAGGCTGAGGCAGGAGAATGGCGTGAACCTGGGAGGTGAAGTTTGCATGAGCCGAGATCGTGCCACTGCACTCCAGGCTGGGCGATAGAGCAAGACTCCGTGCAAAAACAAAAAACCAAAAACAACAGAAGAAACCCTAAAATAAATAAGTCAATGATGTAGTGTGTTAAAAAGTGATCAATGCTAGCCAGGCACTCTGGCTCACGCCTGTAATGCCAGCACTTTGGGAGGCTGAGCGGGTGGATCACCTGAGGTCAGGAGTTTGAGACCAGCCTGGCTAACATGGTGAAACCCCATCTCTACTAAAAATACGAAAAATTAGCCGGGTGTGGTGGTGGGTGCCTGTAATCCCAGCTACTCCAGAGGCTGAGACAGGAGAATCGCTTGAACCCAGAAGGCGAAGGCTGCAGTGAGCTGAGGTCGCACCATTTTGCACTTCAGCTTGGGCAACAAGAGCAAAACTGTCTCAAAAAAAAAAAAAAAAAAAAAAAGGATCAGTGCTGTGGAAAAAGGAAAAGGTAGAACTGCATACAGGGGATTGGGATTCAAGTAAAGTGTTGCAATTTTAGGTGGGGTGGGGAGAGTAGCCTCTGGGAGGGGACATTTGATCACAACTGAGGTGAGCGAGTGGCCCATGCGGCAAGCAGAGGGTAACGTGTTGCAGGCAGAGGGAATGTGAGAAGGTCCTAAGGCAAGGCAGTCACTCATAGTAGCTGAGATTGAGGTAAGAGGAGGTAGACCATGAGAAGTGTTGTTAGGCTGTTGTGAGTACTTCAGTTTTTCCTGTTAGAGAAATGGGGAGCCACTGAAGGATTTTGTGCAGAGGAGGGATATTTTTTAGATTCATTCTGGCTGCAGAGTTGACCAAAGTCTCAGGGTGTTATCTCTTAGGGAAGCTTCCACATATTCTGTTATCAGCTCATCAAAAAACAGAACGAAGGGCAGTTGAAGGCACCCATATTGCTGTCACCATTCAGTGAATAGCAGCCTTGAAAACTGATTATATGAACTGGAGTTATCTTGTCATACCCAGATAAATTAGAGTCCAGAAATGGGGGAGAAGAGAAAGCATTTGGGGCACAAAGTGCCTGCCCAGGAATTATATTGAAAGCCAGCTGCCAAGGTGACCTGCTATATAACCTGAAGACCAGTTTTACCTAGTAGCTGCTGAAACTCTAAGACTAGTTTTACTTACCACCTTCTCTCACAAATTAGAGCTTGCCTGCTCCTAAAAACTTTGCTTAGGGTCAATGAGCTATCTTTCAAGGCAATACATAACATTTCTCTAATGAAACCTCCAACCATCTCTTTGTTCTTCTGAAGACCACCCAAGTCTGTGTGTATGCCCTGAACTGCAATTCTGTTTTCCCAAATAAAATGATTTAGAGACTCATCTTTGTATTTTTAATTGATCTTGACACAGCCAATTCACATATATCCCTACTGTGCCACATGCCAGGCACCATGCCAAGTACATTACATACTTTCTCATTTAACCCTTCCCACCTTCTATATAATCACCACTATTGGTGATGATTTTATTCTATTATTATTTTTTGAGACGGAATTTTACTGTTGTTGCCCAGGCTGGAGTGCAGTGGTGCCATCTCGGCTCACTGCAACCTCCGCCTCCTGGGTTCAAGTGATCCTCCTGACTCAGCCTCTGGAGTAGCTGGGATTACAGGTGTGCGCCATCACGCCCGGCTAATTTTGTATTTTTAGTAGAGATGGGGTTTCACCATGTTGGCCAGGCTGGTCTCGAGCTCCTGACTTCAGGTGATCCGCCTGCCTCAGCCTCCCAAAGTGCTGGGATTACAGGCGTTAGCCACCGCGCCCAGTCTTGGTGATGATTTTAAAGACAAGAAAAGGAAATTGTAAAAGTTAGTGACCGGCCCAAGGTTTAGATCAAGTAAACGGAACCTGTGTAAGGTAACTTGAAGAACTCTGCTTACTCATGTGAACACTACCCAAGTAAGGTTTAGTACCCCAGTACTGAGGAACTAAAGATGGTGGTGGTAAGGGGGTGGGGAGAGGCATCAGTGTTTGAGTTCAACCACCACACGTTTCTTTATTTTTATGTTCTGTCTAGCCATTATACCACACATTTGTCTGCACTGTAACTGGACTTCTGCACTGTTGATAGTCCTAAGTTTCCTCTAAAGCTTGGCATCTGTGTGGTTTATTTGGTAGAGATTTGGACTTTCAAAGGGACGATACCCATCACTGGGGATTTCTCTCAAACCCTGGCGGTTTAAAAACCTACTTGGGCACTGCTGCTCAGCCGGTGGACCAGTGAGGCAAGCACAGAAATAGAAAGCAAGCATTTGTAAGCGTTAGTAGCTACTTTAAAGAGTAACTTCGTTCTGTTAGACCTACTAATAACAAATCGGAGCTTGTATTTAGCACATCTTTTTTTAACTTTCATTATTCTCCCATTTTATAGTATTTTACCTGAGAGGCTGAATATACTAAGACAATGGCCAAATCTAATATAAAAACAGACCTCTAATCCACAACCTGCAGCAACCTGCCCGGAAAACCAGTCCAATAAGCAACCCAGGGAGCCTGCCTGCTCTAAATCAGACTTGCAGGAAGCCAGATTGCCGTCTCTAGCAACAGTCTAGGAAGCTGAACAATAACTTCTGTAACAACTGGGCTCAAGTGGCCAGGACTTAATAACTGATAGCTTTCTTAATTTTTGTCCTTGCTTCCAAGTTAGGACCGACCAGAGAAAGGCAACTATGCCCCCTAACCAATACCTGGGATATTCCGCTTCTAGGGAGCCGCCTCCAGACTCCGGTCTGCGCACACCTGAAGCCTTCCCTTTTGTCCACCCTAAAGCGTCCCCACTCCTCTGTCTGCCTTTGCGTCCCTCCCCAAAGGCAAGGGACAGTGGCTGACGCCTTTGCTCTTCTCGTTCAGATGGTCTTCCATTTATTCCCACATACCCGGGGTGGAGAGGAAATCAGCAAAAGCAAAACTCGGGTCCTGCACGCAGGCAGCTTAAGTACGGCCCTAGCTAGGGCTCGGGTCTCCCCTAGGCAGGAACCTCGAAGACCGGAGACGGCAGTGCAACCCAGGCACGCGCCTTCGGACGGCCGGAGTAAATGGTCGCGAGATTTTGCGGGGTAGCAAGGGCCCGGGTGCCTAGGGTGGGAGAAACTACACAAGCCTGGAGGCGAGCCTAGCCCTTTAACCCGTCGGGTTTCACCAACGAAACCCGAGCTTCCCGGAGTGAGGGTGGAGCTTCCTGCGCGCGCCCTCTGCGCATCCGCCAGCCCGGTGCCCGCCCCTCGACCTGGAGTTGATGTCACATCCGGCGGCGGCGGCAGCGGTGCTGGTTTTCACCCGGGCCGTCGGGGCGCGCTCGTGTGTCCCAGGTGTCCCGCCGTCTCCCTCCTTCCCGCAGGACTCGCCCCTCCTGGCCCTGGGCCCCAACGGTTCCCGCCTGCCCAGCGGTCGGTCAGCGCACAGGGCACGGCTTCCTCTGCTTCTCCGGACCACTTAGTCTCAACCCGGGCGTGTTTCCACTTCTAGAGGTGAAGCATCCATCACAGAGAGAATGGGACCTGGGGTCTTGGACCACGGTGTTTTTACTTTTCCCATTAGGTGGACGCGCATGGGCAGGAGATTTTATTTGCAATGTTTCCTCCTAGAGGATGCCTTTGTCATTGTAGTGCAATCTAAGAATGGGTGTCCTTAGACAACAGGGACCGACCGAATCGTCATGCAGCTGTTTGGGTGCCTTAAAAAAAAAATAAATCCCCACACTCATTACGCGTTTTATGCTGCTGACTTTTTTATTTTTAAGACATCTGCTCCCGAAAGCTCAGAGCCCTTTAGCATTTCATTTACTAAACGAATCCTAATCTTTCTGTGACTGGATCGGTTCAGAGGATATCTTTTCAATAAGGAAGGAAGCCCTCCCCTGCTCACTGGGGACGTCTCAGGATGTTTAAACCTGAAGATTTACTCTTGTGCACAGAGCCTGGAAGCATTTGCGTGAGGCAGTGCCGTGCTTTTTTGGGAAATGCATCACATCTTTTCTGTTCTTGAAACGCCAAATCTAATTTGGTCTTTTTTTGGATGAGTTACCTCCAGTATTATGAAGGTTACTGTGAAGGAACCTGAGACCACTGAACTTTTTGAGTTCTTGCGATAGATGTTAAATCGTTTTTCTGGCTTCAACTCTGACTTTAGGATCACTGTCAATCGGCTACATTCTTTACTCTCTTCTCCTTATAATTTAATGCAATTTATCTGTTGTAAGTTTTGAATTTTGATAGTTACACTTAATAGAATTGTGTTTAAAAGAAAAGTGAGGAACTCGTGGCTTTTTGCTTTTATATAACTTAATTTTTCATTTTGCAAAATGCCCATTTGAAAAAACATAACTAAGCTAAAGAAAGGAAATTAAAATCATCTGGAATCCTACTACCTAAAGATAACCATTGCTAACATTTTGGAATAGAGTGTTAATTTTTAAAATACATGAAATTTGTAAAAAACAATGAAATCATAGTGTATACTGTTCGAGTATAGTTTTTTTTGACATATCTTGCCTGGCTTCCATTTCACTTATTTTTTTTTCTTTGCACATTTATAATAACTACAGAATGTTCTATTGTGCTAGGCACTCATAGGTATAGTGGGAAACCTAGTGCATAAACCTTGTGCCATCTATTTTAGCAGCTCAGAGAACTTTTAACGTATATCTTGGTTTTTGGCCAAGATGCATAGGTGGATGGTTGTAGAACTGAGTAAAAGGAAATCTTTAACATTGGGTCCTATGCAAGGGTACATCAGATTTATTGAAAAGGTGGAGAACATCATTGAAAATTATTCTAATTCTTGACTCATTGTTTCTACATTCACTTTTCTCCTTCGTCTCTCTCTTTTTCTGTGTCTCCTCCAAGAATGAAATATGACTGACGACTCTCAGAGAAACTTTCGTTCAGTATATTATGAGAAAGTGGGGTTTCGTGGAGTTGAAGAAAAGAAATCATTAGAAATTCTCCTAAAAGATGACCGTCTGGGTGAGTGCTTTTTAAAATTAATCTCATTGGTTCTCAGTCATTCCACATGTTCTGAAGTAAGTATTTTCTTAAAAGACATCCAGAAGCATTGGTTGCTTGTTGTATTTTTTAGTGATGTGTTGAAGCAGAATGGTGTATTTTGAGAAAAGTTATAGATTTTTCAAATTTATATTTCACTGAGGGTCAGAAGTTTTTGAAAGGTTTCTTAAGAAAGTCGTTAATATTTTTTCTTTAATTGAACCTATATGTTTTCATGTATTATCTAGGTAAATTTGCAATAACTCTGGTCATGATTTTTTTCTTCTTTTTTTTGAGACCGAGTCTGACTCTGTTGCCCAGGCTGTAGTGCAGTGGTGCGATCTGGGCTCACTGCAACCTACGCTTCCTGGGTTCAAGCGATTCTCCTGCCTCAGCCTCCTAAGTAGCTGGGACTACAGGCATGCGCCACCATTCCTAGCTATTTTTTGTGTTTTTAGTAGAGACAGTCACCATGTTGGCCAGGCTGGTCTCAAACTCCTGACCTCGAGTGATCCACCCACCTCGACCTCCCAAAGTGCTGGGATTACAGGCATTAGTTACCACGCTCAGCCCATGATTTTCTTCTATGGAAATACTAAGAGTGCATTGTATATTGACATTTTAGTTTATTTTAAGCCAATCTGAATAAGGTCTGTTGTTGACTAAAGTAAAATAAACTGAACCATATTTAAAGATAATACTTTATTTGCATAGAGTACTTTTAAAGTTTCTGAAACACTTCTCACCTTATCTTTGATCTTCAACTGTACAGTCTTTGCTTCAGTATGTCTGGTATTCTCCTTTGATAAGTAGAAGAATTGAGGGTCAGGGAACTAACTGTAATTTACTGGAAAATGTAGGGTTTTGAAGGTGGACTGCACCACTTACTAGCTGTGTTAGTTTGATCAAATCATTTAACTGCTTTGAACTTCAGTTTCTGCATTTTTAGAACAAGAACTACCTAACAGGCTTGCAATGTGAATTAAATGAAATAACCCTGTAATTAATAACTACCACTGTTATAGGGAATGTAGTAATATATGCAAAATGCATCTCCAATGTTGTGAAATGCAAATTGTTTTTATTTTTATTATTATTTTTTTTAAGACAGCGTCTCACTCTGTTGCCCAGGCTGGAGTGCAGTGGCATGATCTTGGCTCACTACAACTTCTGCCTCCTGGGTTCAGGTGTTTCTTCTGTCTCAGCCTCCTGACTAGCTGAGACTACAGGTGTGTGCCACCATACTTGGCCAATTTTCGTATTTTTAGTAGAGATGATGTTTCGCCATGTTGGCCAGGCTGATCCCAAACTCCTGACCTCTAATGATTTGGCCGCCTCAGCCTCCCAAAGTGCTGAGATTACAGGTGTGAGCCACTGTGCCTGGCCACAAATTGTTTTTAAATAACTTAGTTGGCAGAAGTCTTGGGCTAGAAATCAGACTAGTATTACTTCTTCTAAACTTACTGACCATATGGTAGACATCCCCTGAAGAAATGTCTTAACTATTCTTTCAGTTTTAAAAAATGAAATGTGCTTTGACATACTGTGATCAGCATGAAAAGCTTCTAACAATTGTTTTCTTCTTCCTCTAGATACAGAGAAACTTTGTACTTTTAGTCAGAGGTTCCCTCTCCCATCCATGTACCGTGCATTGGTATGGAAGGTGCTTCTAGGTATGAGACCCAGGACTTGGAAGATTTATCTTCAAAAATATTGAATAATGGGATCATTTGCTATCTTATCAGTCAGGAAAAGGAAAATTTGTTTAGGCCTTTTATTGAATATTGGATCTTCCCCAGGAGGTTCAATTACCGCTCATTATTTTCTGTTCTATTAATGATACTATAGAAGAGAAAATAGTGTATGTTCCTGAGACAAGATCTGGGAAGAGCACTGGACTAGGAGGAATGAGAATTGGTTTAGGCTTTGCTATCAGCTGGGTGACCTGGAGGAAGGCGAGCCCTCTTGGACGCATTTTTTGCATCTATAAACTGAGGCTTTCGAGGTAAATTACTCCTAGTTTTTAGCTCTAAGTTTGTAATATTTTGTGATTCTCAGCTATAAAGGTATAACTTCCTAATGAGTCAAAGAGGAATTGGAGACTTAATACTCCCTAGAAGTGTAAATGACTGAATTCCAGCGGTGTGAGTGGCTAGATGAGAAGGAAAACTGATCTTACTTAGTTTCTATGGAGGAAAACATGAATTAAGTGCCATGAGTAACTGGCAGCATCCCTTCTGAGCCCAAGATTTTCTTTCCCCTACCATTGCTGAGCCTGCTGGAGCATATAATTCCTATCCATTACCATCCTCTTTTTCTTTCATAAAAAAAGTATTTTTGGCTGGGTGCGGTGGCTCACACCTGTAATCCCAGCACTCTGGGAGGCCAAGGAGGGCAGATCACGAGGTCGGGAGATTGAGACCATCCTGGCCAACATGGTGAAACCCCCTTTCTACTAAAAATACAAAAAATTAGCTGGACGTGGTGGCGTGCGCCTGTAGTACCAGCTACTCAGGAGGCTGAGGCAGAAGAATCTCTTGAAGCCAGGAGGCGGAGGTTGCAGTGAGACAAGATGGCACTGCTGCACTCCAGCCTGGAAACAGAGCAAGTCTCCGTCTCCCAAAAAAAAAAAAACAAAAAACTTACAGTTTGTTAACTGTAAGATAGTGGTGAGGACTAAATTCCTTGAAGAGTATAAACTATGATTGCTCCTTATTGGGCATCCCTGTGTGCCTATCAGTAGGCTAAGTCATTTACACAGATTGTACAGAGTAATCCTAGAATCTCCTGTGAAGCAGGTATTGGTATCCTAATTTTGCAGGTGGGGAAGAAGACTCTCTGAGGCTAAATAACTTGCCTAAGGCATTATAGCCTGTAAATGGCAAAGCTAGGATTTGAGCTTACGTTTGTGAAACTCATTTGAAGGTAAGATAGATGGTGTTTCTCCTGCCTCAGCCTCCCGAGTAGCTGGGACTACAGGTGGGCACTACCATGCCCGGCTAATTTTTTGTATTTTGGTAGAGATGGGGTTTCACCATGTTGCCCAGGCTGGTCACGAACTCCTGAGCTCAGGCAGTCCACCCGCCTCGGCCTCCCAAAGTGCTGGGATTACAGGCGTGAGCCACCACACCCAGCCCACCTTCCTTTATCATGTCATAGTTATTTTTTGAGGAAAAGGCACTGGAAGTTTAGAGCGTGCCGCGCTGTGTAGGACACAGCCTGACTCTTCCTAGCCCAGAGTTTTGATTATTTAGGGATCTTTACTTCAAATGCCTACTTCCTGATACTATATTAGTTAAATATCAGAAAGAGGCTTTTTAGGACCAGCTCTTAGAATACAGGTTTAAGGGTTAACGTGCTGCCTCTACAAGTGTGATGAGGGTTCGGTCACAGCTGTTTAATCTGTATTAGCCAAGATGTAGGAGACTCTTTAGCATGTTCCCTTGGCTTTTCTGGAAGCCTGGCTCACAGTCTCATAGCAATGATGAGTTAAAGATTTATTTCAGGGAAAAGAACATTTAAGCAAGTTTTTTTTCTAACATCAACATGGTATCATATTAGCTACTATTGTTTTTGTTTTCTGGGGTATTCTTTAGAATACTAAACCTGTGGCATTTTGCACCAAAGAGGGATTCATAGTCAAATGTACTAGCTCACACTTACACTAGCTTAGTGTTTGCCGAGTACTCTCCTGAATGCTTTGTGTATATTGATCTGTTTATTCATCTCAACAACTATATGATATTAAGTATTGTTATTCCCGTTTCTCAGATGGGGAAGCTAAGACATAGGGAGATAAAGCGATTGCTAGAGCTCACCACCCAGCCAGTTAATTGTAGAGCTGGAATTTAAACCCAGCAACTTTGCTCCAGAGTCTGTGCTTCTGTGGCGCCTCATTAAGTTTAATGAGGCTCGAGTAAATAAAATGTTTTTTTGTTTTGTTTTGTTTTGTTTTGTTTTCTTTGAGACAGGGTCTTACTCTGTTTCCCAGGCTGGAGTGCAGTGGTACGATCACAGCTCACTATGGCCTCGACTTCCCAGGCTCAGGTGATCCTCCCACGTCAGCCTCCCGGGTAGCTGGGACTACAGGCATGTGCCACCGGACCTGGCTAATTTTTCTGTAGAGACAGGGTTTCTCAGATACCTTCACTCAGTTGCTCAGGCTGGTCTCAAACTCCTGGGCTCAAGTGATCTGCCTGCCTTGGCCTCTCAAAGTGCTGGGATTATAGGCATGAGCGACCATACCTGTCCTAAAATGTTTTTCTTTATGACAAAACTTAGAGCCATGAAAATTCATTGTCACCATTTCCCAAATCTGTTTGACGATGGCATTTTGTTTTCTCTTGGGGTTAGCATTCTGTGGAGAAGCATTTGGTGAAATGCTTGTCCCGTTTCCTGCCTCTGACAGATGGGGAAACAAATACCCAGAAAGACAGACACATTTGAGAGTCCTAGTATTATCCAGTCTGAGGCTAGAACCCGGATGGCTGGCCTGGCTAGTGGTCTTTCCACTATGTTTTCTCAGAGCCATTTGTTTGTAAAAAAGATATGACACCATGTTTAAATGGGTGAATGAGCTTAATGTGTCATAGAAATGTCATGTAAGGTGGCCTCACCAATGAAGCTTAAGGTCTTTTGTGACCTGGAGGATAAGATACTTAGTGAGCAAGTTTTAACTGTTGGGGAAGAGAAGAATTCAGTGGGCTGTTGGTGGTTCTGAGATGTAGGGGTCAAGTACAAAGATGAGGGTGAGACCCTCTGGGGAGCTAAAGGCAGCCTGAGGCTGCCATAAATTAAATTAAACCATTGTTATAATTGATGTGGTTGTTAATCTTGAATGTATGCGGCACACTTATTCAAGGGCTTTGCCAGTGTTCTTATATCAATGATGCCTCAGCATTCAAACATTGATAATATTTCACGTTTAAGATTGTTTTATAGTGAGAATTTCTAAAAGAGATTCTATATGGTACTTAAATATCTGTGTGAATTCTAGCCTAACTGTGTTGGGTCGCTTCCCACAGCATCCTCTTTCATAGATGAGGGATTTGGAGTGATGGCTCAGTATTTTGTCCTTTTTTCATTTTTCCTATTCTCTCTAGGAATACTGCCTCCACACCATGAGTCCCATGCCAAGGTGATGATGTATCGTAAGGAGCAGTACTCGGATGTCCTTCATGCCCTGAAAGTCGTTCGCTTTGTTAGTGATGCCACACCTCAGGCTGAAGTCTATCTCCGCATGTATCAGCTGGAGTCTGGGAAGTTACCTCGAAGTCCCTCTTTTCCACTGGTTAGTGGTCGCTTTTGTCTGACACTAAACTCAACTCTAGACTGTTCCATCTTGCCAGCCTTTGATTACATCATGCTTTGCCTTAAAACCTTTCGGTGGCTCCCTATTGTTATTAGTATAAAAGTGACACGTCTTTACTTGGCATTCATGGCCATGCACATTCTGACCCAACCTTCTTTTTTTTTGTTTTCTTAAAATACGTTTTATTTTGAAGTAATTTCAAACTTCTAGAAAAGTTGCAAGAATACTACCAAGAATTTGCATATACCCTTTACTCAGATTCTCCAGTTGTTAACATTATGTGCATCTGTTTTGCTTTGTCATTTTAAGACGTATTTTTTAAACACATTTTTTTTTCCTAAATCATTTGAGAATAAGATGCAGACAGGGTTCCCTACTACCTCAGATTCCTTCAGTGTACACTTCCTAAAGACAGGACACCCCTGTAGATAGCCATAGTACAGTCCTCAAAACTAAGACATTAACATTGATACAATAGTAACATCTCATCTAGCAACTCCATTTGAATTTGACCAATAATGCCTTCACAAATAAGCAAACAGTCCAAGTTCTGGGTGAGGATTGGATCCTGGTTTAGGCTTTGCACTGGGTAATCATGTTGCTTTAGTCTCCTTTGACTTGGGACAGTTCTGTCTTGTTTTAATCTTTCATGGCTTGGACATTTTTCGAGGGCATAATCAGATGCTTTGAAGAAAGCCCCTCAATTTAGGTTTGTCTGGTGCTCCCTCCTGATTAGATTCAGGTTATTCATTTTTGGTGGGGATACCAGGTGGGTGATGCTATCTCCTTTTCTGTGACTCTTATCAGGAGGCACATAGTGTGGATTTGCCCCATAAGAGGTAGTGTTAACTTGGATCACTTGGCGAGGGTGGTGCCTGCTGGAGTTTTCCACTGGAAATTGTTTATTTTTCCCTTTTTAATTACTGTTTCTCTTTGTGGGGAGACACTTGAAAACCGCTATGTAAGTATCCTATTCCTTATTGAACTTTTGCTCATGAGTGTTCTCACTTGACTATTTCTAAAAAAGTTTTATTTTTTAACTTTTAAAATAATGTTGGATGTAGAAAAAAGTTGCAAAAATAGTAAAGTGTTCTCAAATACCTTCTCCCAGTGTCCTCAAATGTTACATCTCATACAACCATAATGTAATGATCAAAACCACAGAGTCACAATACTGGGAGCTACTTTGTAGGCCTCATTGGGATTTTGCTGATGTCCCACTGATGCTCTTCTTCTGATCCAAGATCCAGTTCCAGATCACACATTACATTTAGCTGCCACGTCTTAGTCTTTAATCTGGAACAGTTTTTTTTTTTTTTTTTGAGACGGAGTTTTGCTCTTTTTGTCAGGCTGGAGTGCAGTGGTGCGATCTCGGCTCACCACAACCTCTGCCTCCCGGTTGCAAGCGATTCTTGTGCCTCAGCCTCCGGAGTAGCTGGGATTACAGGCGCACACCACCACACCCGGTTAATTTTTGTATTTTTAGTGGAGACGGGATTTCTCCATGTTCAGGCTCGTTTTGAACTCCTGACCTCAGGTGATTCACCCGCCTTGGCCTCCCAAAGTACTGGGATTAAGGCGTGAGCCACTGTGCCCGGCCTGGAACAGTTCTTCAGTCTTTGTCTTTCATGACCTTGACACTTTTGAAGAGCCCTGGCCAGTAAAGCATTTCTCAATTTGGGTTTGTCTCATGTTTCTCCATGATTAAACTCTGGTCGCGCATTATTGGCAGGAATACTACAGAAGTATGGGACTCATTACTGTTGCTGCTAACTGTGATCACTTGGGTAAGATGGTGTCTGCGGAGTTTCTCCACTATAAGGTTACTATTTTCCTCTTTGTAATTAATAGGTAACTGTAGGGAAGTACTTTGAGACTTGTAAATAGCCATCCACTAATGGTTCTTATTCTTGCCTGAACCAATTTTTACCATGCTGGTTGCCAAATGGTGATCTAACTCCCTCATTCTTTTTGCATGTATTAGTTGGCATTCTTCTCTAAGGAAGAGTTTTCCCTTCTCATTCTTTATTTCTATCAGTATGAAATTAAAGTGTTGTTTGTTTGGCTAAAACAGTGAATTGTTCAAATGGATTTGCTGAAACACTCCTATTTTACAAAATTTATTTTTATTGCATAGCTTATATTTTTTGAAGTTAATGATGGGGTATCCATGGACAAACCTTAGAGCTAATAAAGATCATTTGTATTTATTATGTTTATCAAGAGAGAGAAGGTCCCTAAAAAATAATTGGAATAATTTAAGCAATCATCTTTAAATTTCACTTATTGGCAAAGGGAAGTTGATAGTACTACACAAGTTCTTAAATTACATATCAAATTAAATTCGATCATCTGTTAGTTCAAGGAATTGAGATGACAGGGTATAGGTTCCCCCTCAACGCTACTCAGCTTGTCTGTGTTCCAAGCTGAGACACCTTTACTGCAGCCTCAGGCAGACACGCTTCTGAGTGAGTGTTTTGGACTCTGCCACCCCACGTCTCCCCAGTCATGGTCCTCATTGTGTTAGTCTGTTTTTGGTTGCTTATAACAGAGTACCTGAAATTGGATAATTTATTTTAAAAAGAAATTTATTTCTTACAATTCTAGAAGCTGGGAAGTCCAGGATTCAGGGGCTACATCTGGTGAGGGCCTTCTTGCTGATGAGGACTCTCTGCAGGGTCCTGAGGTGGCACAGGTTATCGCATGGCGAGGGGGCTGAACGTGCCAACATGCTCACCCAGGACTCTCTTCTTCTTCTTAGGAAGCCACCAGTCCCATTCCTGTGATAACCCATTAATCTATGAATTGACCCACTGATGAGGGCGGAGCCCTGATGATCCAGTCACCTCTTAAAGGCCCCACTTCTCAATACTGCCACATTGGGGATTAAATTTCAACATAAATTTTGGAGGGGACGGATGTTTGAACCATAGCACCTACTTAGCGCCCACTCTGCCTCATTTTTTAATGCATTAATAAGAGGGTGCAGCAGTGCTCGGCACAGGGCCAGGGAGGATGACCTGGGTCCTCTTCTCTTGACCTGTCCGTGGTCAGGAGCAGTCAGTGATATGCCACCTTTGTGGGTGCCAAGCACAGTGCACAGAACTGCACGGGAGTCCAGGAAAGGAGATTTTTCCTTTCCCTTTTCTTCCTACTTATTTTCCATTCTCCTCTGACACATTAATAAAATGCTTAGAGAAAATTTATTCCCTGTGATTTAAATTCTGTTTTTCTTGACATTTTACAGAATGTTAACAAGTTGAAAGAAGGGCTTAGAATGAAATAATACATTAAAATGACAATTTTGATTTAAGTTGATACTTTTTAGGGGAAACTGTGATACTTCTTAGTTTCTTTTTAACATTAAAATCCTTCAGCTATTAAATCCTAGATGAAAATGTAAAGCTTTTTGTATACCATATGGTGTTTGAAAACAGAAGAGGTTTTCAAATAAGGTCCCAGTTTTTCTAAGATCTCTGTTGAAATTTCCCTGAGAGTTTACTTTCGCATTCTGAGTATTGACACAAGGTTTGAGAAATGCCATTCTTTTGATTCCCAAAATTCTGATTCTAGGAACATTTTAACTTTTTTACTGCTTAAGATGAAACAAAATTCTGAAGGTATGCGTGAATGCTTTGAAATAAAGCAAATGCTTTATTAGTCTTTTTTGGAGCTCTTCAGTATTTGCAAATTACTGTGCTGAAAGATGTTTCCAATTACTGATGGTGCCGTTTGTTACACTCTTTTCAAAGACATTCTCACCTAGTACTGAGGATATTTTTGGGTGGAGAGAGTCAGTGACTTGCTTATCATTTATAGTGACTCTGTGAGGGGCTTAATGTTAGAAGCTGGAGCATCTCTGTACACTCAGCCTGAAACCTGGTCATTCATAAGCAACACTGACCCTGTAGTTACTCATCCTTTTCTCCCCCTTGCTCCCCTCTTCAGGGATGGACTCTGTGCTTTTTGATCCCGCTTTGATTTATTAATGTAGCCTTTTCAAAATTTAGGGAGCAAGGTTTCATTTTTTATTAAAGAAACATGTATTCCTCTCTTTCACTGCCTTCCTCTTGAGATTTATTATTAATCTTTCAGGAGCCAGAAGATGAAGTATTTCTTGCTATAGCTAAAGCCATGGAGGAAATGGTGGAAGACAGCGTTGACTGTTACTGGATCACCCGACGCTTTGTGAACCAATTAAATACCAAGTACCGGGATTCTTTACCCCAGTTGGTGAGGACTTTTTTTTTTAGGCTATTGGAGAGTGAACAATGGTATTGGGGGTCTTCAGGGAGTGCTCATACCTCCTGAGGCTGCTACAATTATGAATAACCCTTTACAGTAGGACTCAGCAAGTGTTTTCTGTAAAAGGCCATATAATCTAAATACTTCCAGCTTGGTGGGCCAGATGGTCTCTATTGTAACTACTCAACTCTGCTGTTGTTGCACAAAAGCAACCTTAGACAATGCATAAAATAGTGTTCCTGGCTGGATTTGCCCTGCTGCAGGCCATAGGTGGCCAGTCCTGCTCTATAGTATTCCTTATTCTGGTCTAGAATCCGCTGGTCTAGAGTAATCCATCTGTATAAGTTAAGGTTTTCATTTGGCTGCATATAATGGGAAGCCCAAATACCAGAAGCTAAGAATCCAGGCAGTGCAGAGCTGGTGCTGCAGAACCACAGTATGGAGAGGGCTGCAGACTCCTGCCATTCTGCTCCAGTATTCATAGGCATGATCTTTCCCCTCCTGCTCACAAGGTGGCTCTTGGACCAGTGGCCATGACATCTGTGTTCTGGGCAGAAGGAAAGGGAAGGCAAAGGTAAACACAAAGGAATAAGAGGGACAGACCAACCAAGTCTGTGGCCCATTAGGCTTTCCCTCTGCATGTACAGCTGACCTTTGAGTAGTGGAGGGTTAAGAGAACTAACCCAACCCCAGCATACTTGATACCCTGCATGTAACTTTTGACTCCCGCAAAACCTAACTACTAATAACTTACCGTTGACTGGAAACCTTACTGATAACATAGACAGTCATTTAACACATATTTTGTACACATATTTTGTTTCCGTTTGTGTTTTTTTAAGATGGAGTCTCATGCTGTCGCCCAGGCTGGAGTGCAATGGCGTGATCTCGGCTCACTGCAACCTCTGTCTCCTGGGTCCAAATGATTCTCCTGCCTTAGCCTGCCAAGTAACTGGGATTACAGGTGCCTGCCACCATGCCTGGCTAATTTTTGTATCTTTTTTCATAGAGGCAGGGTTTCATCATGTTGGTCAGGTTGGTCTCGAACTCCTGACCTCAAGTGATCCGCCCACCTTGGCCTCCCAAAGTGCTGGGATTTACAGGCATGAGCCACCACGCCCAGCCACATGTTTTGTTATATGTGTATTCACTATATTCCTGTAATGAAGTAAGCTAGAGAAAAGAAAATGTTAAGAAAATCATAAGGAAAATGAAATATATTTTCTATTTATGAAGTGGAAGTGGGTCATCACAAAGTCTTCATTCTCTTTGTCTTCACGTAGAGTAGGCTGAGCGGGAGGAGGGAGGGAAGGATGGTCTTGCTGTCTCAGGGGTTGGCAAAAGTGGAAAAAAATCCATGTTTAAGGGGACCTTTGCAATTCAAACCCGTGTTGCTCAAGGGTCAACTATATGTTAGTGACCAGGACTGTGTCACTTGGCTGCCCTGTCTACAGTAGAGGCTGGGAAAGGTGTTCTTTTTTAAAAAAAGCCATGTGATCTACTAAAACATGGGCTCTGTGAGTGACATAGGAGGGGCACATGGGAGTGTGGCAGGCAACGAGCTGTTTCTGTCATAGCCTTGCTTGGGAAGGCAGAGAACTGAATGGTGCTTGCTGCATTGCACAAGCTAGTCTTCCTTTGCCATTTTCTTTTTTTTTTTTTCTAGTTTTTTTTCTCTTATTTATCTCATTTATAAAAATAAATCTGTTTGTCTTAAATCATTGGGTTATTTCTTTTTAAAATTCTACTGAAAGTGGTAACTGTGGTATAGGGTGCAAGACCAGATGCGGCGCAGTGATGATGGTTGAATGGGCAGTGAGGATCACTGCAGTTAATTATTAATAAGGCAATGTGCAAGACCCTTCAGCTTCTGAGAACACTTACAAGAGCAGTTTTTATATATGTCAACTAAGCAAAATTCGATTTTTAAGAGTTTGAAATTTGATCCACTTTGTTGATTTCAGTAAAAATAATTTAAGCATGGAAATGGAGCTTACGTAAAACGTCAGTTGCCTAATTAAGTGAGGAGGTTTTAATTTTTATCATACCATGATCTAATTAGCTTTTCTTATTTAATATTTGAGTAAGTAGCATTTTGATAGTTTATACTATTCTTTTTTTTTTTTTTTTTTGAGACGGAGTCTCTTGTCTGGTCACCCAGGCTGGAGTGCAGTGGCCGGATCTCAGCTCCTGCAAGCTGGCCTCCTCTCGCCGGTTCACGCCATTTTTCTCTGCCTCAGCGCCCGCGAGTAGCTGGCGTTACACAGGGCACCCGCACTTCGCCCGGCTTAGTTTTTTGTATTTTTATAGTAGAGACGGGGTGTTCACCGTGTTTCGCCAGGATGTCTCGATCTCCTGGACCTGCGGCTGATCCGCCCGTCTCGGCCCTTCTCCAAAAGTGCATGGGATTACAGGCTTGAGCCACCGCGGGCCTGCCGGCTATCAACTATTCTTAAAAATCATCCTTTATTTTCGTAACATAAGCAGGAATTCGCATTCCCAAAAGAAATAGAACAATTCAGATGAATCCATATTTCCCTAGACAAGGACTACCACCCAAGCCCTGCATTGCCCCGCTTCCCCTTCTAAGAAGTACATTTTTCATTTAGCTTGGGTGTTATTATTCCAAGAGATTCTCTTATGTGCATGTATATATGATTTTTCTTTTCTTTTTTCTTTTTTTTTTTTGAGTTGAAGTCTAGCTCTGTCACCAAGGCGAGGAGGTGCAGTGTGTGATTCTCGGCTCACAGGTTCACTGCCATTCTCTTGCCCAGCCTCCCTTGAGTAGCTGGGACTACAGGCTCAGCCACCACGCCTTGGCCAAATTTTTCTGCTATTTTTTAAATAGAGCATGGGTTTCACCATGTTAGCCAGGATCTGAGTTCTCGAGTCTCCTGACCTTCGTGACACACACCGCCCTCGGCCTCCAAAGTGCTGGGATTATTCCACATTAAGTAGTAGGTATACTGGTTCATGATGGCCCTATGGTTCTATTTTTGTTGTTTTAACTATTGCCTTGGAGAACTTTCCCAAGGCGAGTATTTTAGACGAATCACTAGTTTCAGTTCCTGACTTCTATTAGTACCACCTGGGATGCTTTTTAAAAATTACCGATCAGCTGGCCGGGCGTGGTGGCATCACACCTGTTAATCCCAGCACCTTTTGGGAGGCCGAGGGGTGGCGCGGCGGATCACAAGGTCAGGAGATCGAACCACGGTGAAACCCTGTCTCTACTAAAAATACAAAAAATTAGCCAGGCGAGGTGGCGGGCGCCTATAGTCCAGCTACTCGGGAGGCTGAGGCAGGAGAATGGCGTGAACCCGGAGGCGGAGCTACATTGAGCTGAGATCCGGCCACTGCCACTCCCAGCCTGGGAACAGAGCGAGACTCCGTCTCAAAAAAAAAAAAAAAAAAAAAAAGAATTACCATCACCTTTCCTCCACCTAGACAAGTGAAACCTGAATCTCTGAAGGTAGGGCCCTGGAATTCTAAATTCTTAAAAGCTCCAGGCAATTCTGAAGTGTAGCTAAAGATTGAAAGGCACTCGTTAAGAACCACCTATTAAAAAATATTTACTCCTAGCATTTCCTGTTACGAATTTCCCGTATTTAAACATAAGAGATCCATGCTGAGAGTAAGCATGCCCTTGTACAGGCTCCCTGTGTGTACGCGTATCTCTTTAGGCTTGGTACCTATGAGCAGAAGCAGATGCTCAAGCGGAGGGGAGACATATGTAAAATCTATTCATTAATTTTTGTCATATTTAAAATTTAAACTGCCTGACTGCTCATCCAAAGGCCATATCAATTTATGCTCCCACCAAACAGATGATGAGATTTCCCATTTTCCACCCCATTGCCAATATGTGACAGTATCAATGTCTTACATTTTTCTCCACCTGATGGTGAAATAGTATCTCATTTTAATTTACCTGTCCTCAGTTTCTAGTGAAGTTATGTTTGCATATTGCTATTGTTTTGTTGACATTTTTCTTTGTAAGAGTTATTGGTATATAGTCACTCGTGGGTCTGTAGGGGATTAGTTCTAGGACTCCTTGAGATAGTAAAATTCATGGGTGTTTAAGTCCCTTACATAAAATGGCATAGTATTTGCATATAACCTACACATTTCTTCTTGTATACTTTAAATCTAGATTACTTATAATATGTAATGCAATGTATATGCTATGTAAATTGTTACACTGTATTATTTAGGGAATAATGACAAAAAAATCTTTGTTCGGTACAGACACAACTATCCATTTTTTATTTCCCAAATATTTTTGGCCCATGGTTGGTTGAGTCAATGGATACGAGGGTTGACTGTACCCTGGATATTTATCCTTATCCCTTATGTTTGTTGAAAATACTTTCTGTTTGTTGTACAAAATTTTAGGTTTTGATACAATGAGATTGGTCAGCATTTTTTTTTTTTTTTTGCTTTTTTGTGTCTTACTGGTTAATTAACACTTTTCAACCCCAAGATTAAATATATATATATATATATATATTTTTTTTTTTCTCCCTTTTTTTTTTTTTCTAAGATGGAGTCTTGCTCTGTCACCCAGGCTGGAGTGCAGTGGTGTGATCTCGGCTCACTTCATCCTCCGCCTCTTGGGTTCAAGGGATTCTCCTGCCTCAGCCTCCTGATTAGCTGGGACTATAGGCACGTGTGTGGCACCATGCCTGGCTAATTTTTGTATTATTAGTAGAGACAGGATTTCCCTATCTTGGCCAGGCTGGTCTCAAACTCCTGACCTCAGGTGATCCACCCCCCCTTGGCCTCCCAAAGTGCTGAGATTACAGGCGTGAGCCACTGCACCCGGCCTGTTTTTTCCTAACTTTTAAAAATGCTTAAACATTTTAAATTGAGCTCTTTGTCAGGGATTTATCTTTCTGATTGGCATCAGACACATACTGGATTTCACTCTTACACTCACCTGCAACACCACTACTTCTACCAACACATCACTCCTCCTCCTCTTCTTCTCCCCTCTGGTTTATGTGTTACTGAGAATGTACTTCATATCAGGCAGTGCTAAATTTATATTGTTAGTGAGCTGCTTCATTCAAGCATATTATCTTTGTTTTTACAGATGAGGAAACTGAAGCACAGAGAAGTTAAGTAAGACCAAGGTCTCAGTCAGTAAGCAGTAGAACAGCACTTACACTGTGAATTTGTGAGTTCATCCTTTTTCCACAGATTTGAAATGCCACCTTATCATATACTGGATTTCCATATATATTTCCATATGTATATATATACACACACACACACACACATATATATTTATGTCTCTTTCTGGACTCCTTTTTATTCCATTGAGTTATTTGTCTATTCCTGGGCCAATATCACGTGATTTCTTTAGTACAACTTTCTAGCGTATTTTGATAGCTGATAAGGAAACTCTCTTATTGTTGCTCTTTTTAAAAAATATCTTAGCTATTCTTGAACTTGCCTTTTTCTTTTCAGAAATGAATTTTAGAATCAGCAAGATACTTCATATCCCTTAAACCTTAGTTTCCTCATCTTTAAAAATGGGGCTTCTTTTGGTGTATGCATTACAGTGTCTAGCACGTAGTTTTAAGTAGTTGTGAAGTTTTAAAAAGAGTCATCCAGAATGTATAAAAAACTTAAATTTCCTTTGTGTCGCTTGCTGTTTGATTTAGGCATCAAGTGATTTGCTTAAACTTTTCTCTCTAGTGAAACTGTCTTTAGTCTATCTTACAACACACAGTTTAGGTTGCTGCTTAGTTCTATGGAAATGTGTGTATGGTGGACAATGATAGGCTCAGAAGAAGATAAGGATACCCCTGAGTGATGATGTGTTTATTCTGCCATACTATTCTGATTCCGAGGATTGCATCATAGCCTCTCTCCTTACAAACTTTTCATACTGAATTCTGCTTTTTTGACAAGGTCTCTCTTTGTCAAGGAGAATAGAGGCCAACTTCAATTGTGTGGCATGGAAGGTTTCTATTAAACCATCTCAAACTTAATTGTGTTAATCATTAACGTAAGTGATCTTTGTTTTATTGCTATAGACACAGTTTTTTAAAGCTCTGCTAAAGAGGTTTTTTTAATATTCACTATTAGCAACTTCTTCCTAAGTTTGATATAAATTCCTCTCAGAGTGATTACGTACCTATTTTTGTCACGTTTTTCCTTCTGTTGATGATGTGTAGTTTATTGTCTTCATAAAGTAAGAATATGGGGGTCATAGAAATACTGAAAATAACCTAAATGTTTAGAAGTAAAACATAATTATGGTTATAATAAATTACATCTATCTATTATAAATCACATCTATGGTATCTATCATTTGCTAAGTATGAAAAAGGTCAGGCAATATAAATATTAGCTCCTTCCATTAAAAAACATATATACACGTATGTATTTGAATTCACCTTCTTTCTTAGATGAAGCAGTAGCATACAGTACACATTCTTCCCATCTTGTTCTTTTTACCTGCTATATGCTGGAGATCATGCCATATTAGTATACAGAGATACTCCTTATTCCTGTCATGATTTCATACTACTGTCCTGTGTACATTCTTACACAATGTTCTTTTTTTTTTTTTTTTTGAGACGGAGTCTCACTCTGTCACCTAGGCTGAAGTGCAGTGGTGTAATCTCGGCTCACTGCAACCTCTGCCTCCCAGGTTCAAGTGATTCTCCTGCCTCAGCCTCCCAAGTAGCTGGAATCACTGGCACATGCCACCACGGCCAGCTAATTTTTGTATTTTTAGTAGAGACGGGGTTTCACCATGTTGGCCAGGCTGGTCTCGAACTCCTGACCTCAAGTGATCCACCCACCTCAGCCTCCCAAAGTGCTGGGATTACAGGCATGAGCCACCACGCCCAGCCTACACAATATTCTCAGGTTAGTATATTCATACTGTTCTATTGTGAATGTAGTTTATTCAACCTGTCTTTTATTGTTGGCTGTTTGGGATGTTTTCAGTCTTTTGCTGTTATACACAGTGTTACTGGTAAATAGACTTGTGCATGCAGCTTCTCATGTGCTTGCTAGTGTATTGAGTTGGATTCCCTAAAAATAGATTGGCTGGATCAAATGGTAAATGCATATATTGCTTTGCTAAATATTGCCAAATTCCCCTTCATAGAGCTCATAGTCTTTTGCATCCTCAAAACCAGTAGATTGTTTCCCTACAGCCTTGCCAACATGGTATGTCATTAGTCTTGAATTTTTGCCATTCTGATAGGTAGGAAGTGATACTTCAGTGGAATTTTATATTGCGTTTATTTTGTTGTAAGTAGGTTGAGCATGTTTTTATATGGGTAAGAGGCAGGTGCATTTTTTTTTTTTCCTATAGAGTTCTTGACTTTTTTCCTTCTCCACTTTTCCTTCTCCACTCTCTTTTGGTAGGGATATTAACCCTTTAAGATTATTCATTAACCTGGGAAAATGTCCACAATTTGTTGAGTGCAAACAGAAAAATGCTAAATCATGTATTCAGTATGAGTTCAACTAATAAAAGAAAGAGAAGTGTGTCTGTATGTATGCAGGATACATGCTCTATAACCTAAGTATTACCAGTAGTTATCATTGGGAGTGTGATTATACTTGATGTCTATATGCTCTTTATTCTTTCATATAGTTTCAAGATTTCTTATAATAGGCTATAATAAACCAGGAAAAAGTTTAAAAAATTAATTAGATATTGGCAAAAAGATGTACATTGAGCGATTGTTAAGATGTCGATTGATGTATTCACAACTTTATATTAATTCACGATATTGATTTGCTCACTCAACAGTTATATATTGAGTGCTTACCATGCCAAGTGATGTGCTAGGTACTGAAGAACCAGCAGTGAACAAAACAGATACAGTACCTTCCCCCCGTGAGCTTATTGTCTGATAAAGGAAAAAGGCAATACATAGTTTTAAAATGTTCATACATCTCCATCTTGTCTATTATTTGTACTGACTTTTGGATGAAATTTTCTTTCCTCTGAGACATAATATATAACTCTGTGTGTGTGTTTTCAACCGAGTCACTTTGCAAAACCAACCACAATTCCTTGTTTGGGAAGTTGTCTGCAGTGTTATTGAGAAACTCTAGGAACCGTTGAGTAGTATAGGGAGGTTGGATAAACAGGAAAAAGAGATATCCTGAAAAAGAAAGGGGAAAGCTGGACCAGATATTATGATATGGGCCTCTCTTTGCCTGGCTAACTCCTGTCCATTCTTCAGAGGTCAGCTCAAATGTCACCTCTCCTGAGAAACTGCTTCTGCTTCCTACAGCCCGGGTTAGGATTTTCTCCTGGATGTACCCAACATCTTGTGCTTGTTCCCATCATAGCATCACAGTATTACAGTGTATTGTAGTTACCTCTTTACTTGTATGTCTCAAGCTGTAAGCTCCTTGAAGGCAGGGATTTTCTCTTACCTTTCACTTTATTCATTGTATGAAATGCAGTCTCTGACTATAGTGGACCTTGTAAAGGTGATGAATTTCCTCTTTGACAGAAGCAGAGAGTTACAGATATTGAGTAAAATAAACGTTTACATTTGCTTAAGTGATGTGGGCTCTGGTTGTACTGCTGCAGATAGTGCGTGTGGACTTTAGGGTTTGACTCTCAGACCCCTTCTCAGCCAGTGGACCCTAAATATAGCAGCCAACCTAAATATAGCAGCCAATGCAAGATGGATTTGGTCAGGTTTGGGGAGCTGGCTTTATGAGCTCTCCAGTCCTCTAGTGTTGGCTGCCACCTGGCCTCATGAGACAGAGGCTACCAAGTGGAATCCAGGTGCTTTGTTCCCTCTGAGTTATCCCTTGAATTCTAAGAAATCTTAGTCACATTTGTGTTGAATACAGAGTTCACGCCCTGGACATCCCTGTTGTGGGAGCCTGCTTGGCACTGGTGCACAGTGGTGCTCGATCCAGGGCAGTGTATGGATGGTCGGTGACTGGTCAGCCCCTTCTCATCAGCATCACTTTTTGTCTTATTCTTCCTAGCGCCCTCTCCCCACTCTAAGCCCACTCTATTTCTTTGGTTTCACCTTTCCTCTTTCCCCCTTTTTTCCTTAGTATATAATCTACTGCTCGTTAGACCAGCCAGTAATATAATGGGCCTTCCTTAGCTCCTCAGAACAATTGGATTTTGCTTTGGACTTTTGCCTTAGGTTGTTGAATCTGGCTAGTGAGGTTAGTATTAGGGTGACCAACCATTCCATTTTGCCTGGGACCGCCCCCGTTTTAGCACTGAAAGAGCCCTGTGTCCTGGGAAACTCCTCAGTCTTGCATGGTTTGTTACTTTAGTTAGGGCTGACCTAGGAAACTGCTGTGTCACAAGTGACTTGGATAATTCTGAAGTTTTGTTTTCTAATACTTCCTTGAATTCAGCATGTAATTTTTGTTTCCATCAGAGACTGTAATATCAGATGATGCTATGACACAGGAAATGAATCATCTCTGTTCTTGCTTAATCTTTAGCCAAAAGCGTTTGAACAATACTTGAATCTGGAAGATGGCAGACTGCTGACTCATCTGAAGATGTGTTCCGCGGCGCCCAGACTTCCTTATGATCTCTGGTTCAAGAGGTGCTTTGCGGGATGTTTGCCTGAATCCAGTTTACAGAGGCAAGTATGTCTTTCGAAGACATATTGAAGGCTTGGCATTAGAGCAGAGTTCTGGCCTTTCATGCAGTCATCCCTCAGAGTATAAATTTGCTTTAGAACAATACAGTAATTTGAAGCTCAGTCCTCCAGCAGCTACCATAACAGCACATGATTATGCTTATTCTTGACTATATAGTTAGAAAAATGGAGGGCCCTCAGTGCATTAGATGCTGTGAAGTAGTCACACCTCAAATGGTCTCCACGAGTTTATATAAGCGTCAGCTCCTCTTTTCCAGAAATGTGACAAATCCTCCTCTAACAGAAATCTGAGTATTAGTTTCATCATGATATCTTTAAAGAAGCTGAAGGCAGTCAAAGATTTGAGACTCAAACCAAGTTCTTCCAGTCAGTTTCAGACATGTCTGGGTATTTCGGAGTCCAGGTGCCACCCATTAAGACTTTGTGATGTAGTAGAATAGTAACTTTTAAAATAAGTTATGGCACTGAATAGTGCAGTACACAGAGAACATTGTAAGATAATATGTAACTAAGTGTATCAAGTAGAATACCAACTTTTAGGAGTTATGGGAATGATCAGAATTATTATTTTAGAGTGTTTATAGATCAGTAACTGGCTCCTTAAGCCCTTAGAGAAGTTTAAGGAGTCTGTCCCCAGAATCACTGGCAATGAAACTGAATTTATCTCATTTCATGTACATCTTTTGTTGTCCCTTAGTAGGCTATAATTATAGCATTACAGAATATTAGCAGAATATATACCATTAGTTTAGGATTTTCTTTTTCTTCCTCAAAAATGTCAGGTTCACAACATGAGGGAATATGATTTTGGTAGATGCCTAGTGGAGCAGTAATTTTTAGTGAACTTTCCTTTTTCCTTCTAGTGCTGATTGTATCTAGAATAGATTTCAAATGGCTTCTGTATTTTGTTGTTGTTTTGATGATTATTTCATAAAAGTTGTTCTTTGAAGCTTTTACATAAAATTGGAGCAATTTGATTTTATTTTGTAATTTGAGATGTCTAGGCTAAGCATAATGCTCAAACTCATGTAATTTGATTATATCTCCTTATTTTTGTAGGGTTTGGGATAAAGTTGTGAGTGGATCCTGTAAGATACTAGTTTTTGTAGCTGTCGAAATTTTATTAACCTTTAAAATAAAAGTTATGGCACTGAACAGTGCAGAGAAGATAACAAAGTTTTTGGAAAATGTAAGTGTGCTTTGATTTGATTTTGAATCTGGAAATGAAGTTACCTTAGCAAGTCAGATTTTCCTACTACATTAGATTATTTCAGAGAAATAATAATTAGATTATTTCAGAGAAATAATACCTTAGACTGTTTCAGAGAATAATTATAATAATGATTATTTTAGAGAAATTATTTAAGAGAAATAATAATTTGATTTGATTTTGAATCTAGAAATGAAGTCACCTTAGCAAGTCAGATTTTCCTGTTACATTAGATTATTCCAGAGAAATCATACAGTATATTTTTACATTATAAGAAACATTTTTCCCTGAAAAAGTTTGGCCTGAAGTTGGCCTGAGGATTAGTTTGCATCCTGTCTTTGGGAGATGATGGTCTGAGACCATCTTGTGAATGTGTCCACTTAGAACCAGAGTGTCATCCTCCATGTGACTATCATCAGTCATGTCAGGAAAAGGAAAAGGTGAGATCTCTCATTTTACAATGAGTAATTTTTGTCAGTTCAAAAGGGATTCTGTATTTTGGAGGATTTTGTAAGCCATTTCATTTCTGTTACTGTCTCTGGTGTAATCCCAGTTGGGTTTATTAATATACAGTATTAACCTGGCATATTGCTGAAAAAGGCAATGGTAACGAAATTAACTTTTCCCTCCCTATGTATCTTGGAATACCCTTTACCAGGCAAGAAATAGGATTAAAGAGACTTATGCCTGAATAATTTTCACAGAATCCCAAATCTATTCATTTTTAAAATAGTATGAACATTTGAATAATGGCCTGGTAAATTATAATAAAGTACTGAGTCAATATGTGTTGAATAAACGAATAATCATCATTATAACCAGAAGTGGCTAACAGTGCCAGGCCTGTGCTAAGTATTTTCCATGGGTTATCTCATGTCATACTGTGAACAGCTCTGCGAAGTCGGGCTATCATTTCCCGCATTTTAGAGACGGGGATTCGAAACCCAGGTAGCTTAGGTAACCCGCCCGGGGATGCACAGTTAGTGAGCAGTGCAGGATTTGAACCCAGGCAGGCTGACACTGGAGCCCTTTCCTGTCCTCAGGTAGCATGTGATACAAGCCTTTTATGCTGTCACTTTCTGAAAAACAGTGAAAACTCCCATGGTAGTGAATTTTATGCCACAGCGAATGAGGGAAGACACTGAAGTTGTCAACACTACAATTTCACAAAGACTGGTTTGCTTGTCCACAGATTCCCCAGGACAGCTCAGACGCGATCGTGAGCAAGGCCATTGACTTGTGGCACAAACACTGTGGAACCCCGGTCCATTCAAGCTGAACGCACCTGCTGGTTGTGGACCGTCTGCCAGGCCCACCCTGAGCGTTGTGTTCTTGGCATGTGATCTGGGAAACTGATTGAATAATACACTTTTCTTGCTCTGGTGCTCACAGTGGGTTTTTTTTTTCCCCCCAATAAAATTATTTAATTGAAATGCCTGGTGTTGCTGTGTTGGGGAGCAGCATCTTGCAGTGACATAGAAATGTAAAGTTCATCTCTGAATAGCATTTCAAAAGGGTTGTTAGAAAATAGCTCCCCGATTTTAAAGCGGTTTAGTCAGGGCGAGTGGGTGTGTTAAGCAGCAGTGCGTAAGTAAGCCTGCCCTGCCTCTAATTGGCACCAAGCTAGTTACTTCTAAGGTCTATTTCTAGAATAAGAGTGACTTCCGTTTGTTGACACCTCAGATTTGGCTTTTGTTGATGCAGTACGTGTTTAAAGATAAGCCAACTGCCTTCTGAGGCTTCATCTTGCTAAGCAGGCTTTGAAAAATTCCTTCCTCTTTTTTCTCTTTGGGCCAGTTGGAATGAAACCATTATTGAACAAAACGTGTTTGAATTGCTCCTAGGAGCAAGTACTTGTTGGATATTTTGCTGCACTCCTGTTTTACTTGATGGGGCGTTAAATGTGGGATGTTAGGGAGCACTGTGCCACACACTAAAGAAGTGAGAGAAGTGGCCAGTGAAGGTGAACAGCTCATCACCCCAGGCCAGCTTGTGCCGCGTAAATGGCTTGGCCGCTCTTCACTGGCTAGTTCCCGGCTTTGGGAGTAGTGAGTGAAAGGGGACCCTTTGTTTCACACCGCTTCAGCCTTCAGACCTGCAAGAGCCTGAATGGTGAGTTGGATTTTCCACCCACCCCCTGAAAGAGGAGGGCAGCTATGAAGTTACAGAGGTACAATTCTGAGAATTCAGGCCCTCCCTAGTATGTGAAATATCTGTTGAAAAAAAGTTCAGAGAAAGTGTGAGTTGTTGAAATCTGTTGCTTCTGAATACTAACATATCTAAGAGTATTTAATTTTTTAAAATAAAAATGCACTCCAAAGAAAAACCTTTTAAAGCAAAATTGCTGCCTAGAGTTAAAACTTTAACAAAAAATGACTTATTGCCAACCATTTATGCCAGAGCCAGGCAGGAGCGCTGGTACTCAGGGAGCAGGAAGGCTTAGGGGCTGCAGTGCCTCTGACTTCGCTGTTTTGGCTGGAGGCCAGCTGATCTGAAATGGAAGACTTACTCTACTGCGAAGGGATCTAAAAATAAATATTCTGCAAGTATATTCTGTCAGACCCAGTTTGGTAAAACCTTTCTGGCTCTAGGGTGTGGGGCGGCGATATTTTCTGGAAGTTAGTCAGTCTGAGAGTTTTTCCTTATGAAAACACTGGTTGGAGGAATGATGTTTTTAAGGCCCACCATGAGAAAGTGGTGGAGAGGATGAGCATCCAGTTTCGCTTTCATAGCAGAATTTCACTTCGCTGAGAGCTAAGTGTTTTGAAAATGTTTGTGCCTGCTGTCTTGGGTAAGGAGCGCAGTTCCTGATAAAAATACATTCATATGCCTTTTCTTCAAAACATTTTGTCAGGATACTGCAGAATTTTTCCTTCAACCTACGGTTCCTGTCACAAACTATTGTGGCTAAAATGTGGGATTCTTCCTTGCCCTTGGAAAGCTGGAATTTAACATGATCACATGTAGTTTCTGCTCTTTCCCTTCTAGAGATTTGTCTTAAACACGAATGAGAAAACATCTCAGTCCTCTTGGCCAGGAGAAAGGAAGGCCAGAGAAGGTTGGAGAGTGTGTATGTGTTGGGGCTGTGGCTTTGGTCTGCTGACAAGTCGAATGGATGGATTGCGTAGAGGTACAATTGTGTAGGGGATTGTGTGTACACGGGCTTGTGTGTCAAGGCTGTTTCAGGAAATAAGGTCAGGGTTCATGAGAATGAAGCACTTTCTTTGTTAATGGAAAGTTCGCCTCAAAATTACGGGGCAACACTGAAATCATATGATGCGTTGAAGGAGCTCCGAGGACCTTCTTCCACTGTAGCTCTGGGTATGGCAGGCACTTGCCTTCTCTTGAATTGCGTAAGTTCCCTATCATGTGGTCATCACCTCCCCATGGTGACTCAAGGTTATGATGTTTTCCCTCTGAAAATGACGAACCCGGAGGGAAGCCAGTGGGGATGAGGAGGGTAAGCAAAGAGCTTAGATGTCCGGGACCAGATCCTAAAATGAGTCGCTGGCTCACGTGGCCCAAGTGACAGCACCTGCTCCGTTTCTGTGACATAAGCAGCAGAGTGACATACCAAGTTCTCCAGCCAAGGCAGCCTTTGGGGAGCCTGGTGAGGGGTGTGGGGTGTGGACAGTGAATCTGCCCAGGTCACATAGGGTCAGCAGCTTTTGTCTTTAGCTGGGTGTTTTGGGTCTAGAAGGGCCAGAAGATGCTTTTCTCTGCCCTTGACAGAGAGGGAAAGGAGTGTGGGAATTTGGGGAGCAGGAGTTGA